ATCTATTCTCTGTGAAACTTAACATGCTAATGTAACGAGTATATGTATGCATTCCTGTGGCCTAGCCCACTGGTAAGTTTTTCAATAAAAGCCTTAGAACACAGGGAGATGGGGGCTTCCCCACTGGAGGGATGTGCCACGGCGTTATCCAGTGAGAGGGAAGTGCCCCCATCTGCTCTCCCAGCAAACAGAGAAATGTTTGCAACGTTTTGTTTATTCCCCCTCATCCGTAACAACCCCGGGACAGGCTCTGCGGGTTTCAGAGCCCTGCTCCCACCTCAGCAGGCCCCAGCCGGTTTCCCTCAGGTTCTGGGGGTGCCGCGTTCTCTGCAGCGCTCCCCCGCGGCAGTGGGCACCCTATAGCCACCGCGCAGTATGACACCTAATTCCCAATTATAATTTCAAGTTACCAACTAGACATATCCACCTGCATATGTTCAATTGAACAACTGAATGTCTTCAATGTACCAGCCACTATCCTAAGGGCTAGGGATAGAGTAATGAAAAGACAATGCTCACCCTTACAGACCTGACGTTCTAGTTTAGCAGGGAGATGAGATGCTTCTTAAGTACTTGAAAGTCAACATATCTGAAACCAAACTCATCTACCTTCTAATTCTGCTCTTCTACATACCTCATTTTCTCCTTCTCCTCTGCCCAGCCCATGTATTTATTTATTCAGTCACTGTGCCCTGTCAATTCTTTCTCCTAAATATCTCTTTGCTATGTTCCCTCCATCCCCTCTTCCACTGCCTTAGTTTTACCTCACCTGGACTGTTGCAATACCTATTGACTGGTTTCTCTGCTTTCCCAAAGGAAGAATCAATCAACATCAGAGTAATTTACAATGCTAATTTCACCTGGGCATAAATCTTTCCCAGGTTAAAATCCTTCGGAACTTCTCCATTGCCTGGAGTCTTCATCATTATGCACTTTATATGCTAAACAGTATCCATATCTACCCTGCCTCTGGTAAGAAGAAGTCTCCAGATAGGAACAAATCATTTACACATGCTATCCTCTCTGCCCGCAAGCATTCCTTTACCCTGAGAACCCACAAAATTCTTAATCAACTTTTAAGTCTTACCTTCTTTAGGTTATAGCATAGCGGTTAGGAGTCCAAGACTTAAAGAGTTAGGCTGCCTGAGTTTGAATCCAGCTTATACTGACTGGCCATGTGACCCTGGGCAAGCTAATCTCTGTGAACCTCAGTTTTCCTTTCCAAAGTAGAAATAACAGTAGCAGTTACTTTGCAGGGATGAGAATTGAGTTAATATATGGAAGGTCCCTGGCATGCAGCAAATGTTATATCAGTGTGTAGTTACCATTTTATTTTCACTACTCCCCCTCCAACAAAGTTAAGCACCCTCTCCTTTGTACTCCTGCTGCACTTTATCCTAAGTCCCTCATTACGCTGTGACGGTCTCAAAACAAGAACTCTCTTTTTCCTCTGCCAACACAATCTGTGCCACATTTTTATCTGAAATAAATACCAATAAGTGTGGAATGTGTTCAAGCTAAGTACTGTGCAAGTGCAAAAGGAAATACAAACACCTGGGCCAAGTCTTGAAAGATAAGTCAAATTTCAAGTAGAAATAAAAAAAGAGTGAGGAAAAAAATAAAGCACTCCACAACCCTGAAATGCATGCATGAAGCAGACAACAAAGTGCAGAGGTCCTTGGGCAGTGACAAGTAGACTAGAGTACACCTAGAGTATGTGTCTGGCGGGAAATGCTGAGAAGTGAAGTCAGCCTTGAAAGCGTTACGATTGGTGTTTAATTCTAGCCTAAGGAATCTGGACCTTGTTGCAGAAAGAATTGGATCTGTTAAGTCCTTTTGGCTAGTGGTGCTGTATGATTTGCAAAGCCGGGATTGGAAAGTAGTAACACTGGACACCGACCATATGACAGGTACTACTACAATCAGGCAAGAAAGAACAAGGACCTTAACTGGGGCCATGCAAATCAAAGATAGGATACATGACATTTCTGAAGTGCCTCAGTGCATGTTGTGATATGGGGATAGAGGACATGATCCCGAGACTTTCTGCCTGCATGACTGGAAAATTATGACATTATGAAGATAAAGAGTACAGAGGGAGGAACTAGGCTAGAAGGCCAGGAGAGACGTGGCTATTCCACCGAAAGTAATTTCGAAACAATATATTTAAATTCAAATCAAATGTTAAGAGATTCATGACATCATGCTGGCACCCACTGCTCTTATTTAACAAGCACATCAGAGCAAATGTGTCCAGTTCAAAGGGCTCATTTGTTTACTAAATAATGTTTATTTATTTGGGGACAAAATACCCTATTATGTAGAGGTATGGCTGAAGAGATTCAAAGGTGGCCAATAGTTTTCAATATTGTATATTCTTAAAGTCTGCCTTTTAAGTTTCTCACAAAACAGTATTTTCTTAAGGTTTTAAGATTCTCTTCTATCTCAAATATCATGATGAAAATCTAAAGCTGCTTAAAAATTTAAACATACTGACTTTAATTTGCTTACTTGCTGCTTTGTATGAAATGCTTATTATTTTTGAATCTGTGATGTTCCTTCTGCAAGTCATATCAAACATGCACTTCATGCTTTTTCTCTATCAAGACTCTTTATTAAAAGGCTGACCAAGGTCATCTAAATTATAAGTGCACTGTCTAAAAGTTCTGATTATGGTAATCTATTTCTATCAGAACAAGCACAATACAAGGACACTGAAAAGGCTAGCTATTTCTATTCCTGAAATGAGGAAATAGCGGGATAACTGTGCAACTCTAATCAAACTTCAGTGCACAACAGAATCTTCTTAGTTTCTTGTTTAAAAAGTAGTTTTCTGTCCTTCTCCCCCTTCAAGGGACTGATTTACTAGGGCACGGGCCCAGAAACTTGTTTTTCAAATACCCAAAGTGATTCTGAAGAAGGTGTTTCAAGGCCACTTTGAGGAATACATGCACTGGCCATAATGTCAGAAACATAGGTTTGAGGTCCACCTTCCTACTCCTACACTGGCCGCATGACCTAAGACTTACTTTCTCTGTAAGGTTCAGATTTCTCATCTGTAAAACAGGAATACTAAGAACTTCACAAGGATGATGAGACAATATAATGAAAAATGCTTAATGCCCAGCTAGAATTATTATTATGATTCACCCTGTTCCCCAGGACAAAAGGAAGACCTGGACATGTATCCATATTCATCATGGTCTTTTAAATGCTTTCTAATTTACAGGAATGTTTTTCCATTTTCACATTAAAACTTTCAACTACAAGATTCTACAAGAACCTCTTGATCAGGCCTGTTCTTTGTCCTTCTCTCCCTCCAATTTTATAATACATGAAAAAAGTTTTTGGACATATTACTTACATGGACCAGTTCCATAAGTAAATCTTACTGAAGGCATAAAGCCAGGAATACAAATGTTCACTGGAAAATACTCTACATCAACATAAATACTAAAAAAAAGTCAATACTTTTACTAAACCTTAGATTTTTACAAGGGAACAAATCCTGTTTCCTGGTAGACCACAAAAATGACACAGTTATCTGAAAAAAGAGAAGGCCAGCCCTGGTTGGGTTGCTCAGTTGGTTGGAGCATCATCCTGTGCACCACAAGGTTGCGGGGTTGATCCCAGTCGAGGAGCATACTGAATGCAACTGATAAATGTTTCTCTCTCACATCAGTGTTTATCTCTCTCTCTCAAATCAATAAAAACATATCCTAGGTGAGAATTAAAAATAAGAATAGTAGAAAAAAAAAAGGCCATATGCTTTATATTTAGAAAACTCAGTTTGTGCTATAGTCAGTTCATTCCATTAAAGAACTTTGCTGGTTTCCCCTTTTAAAAATTGAAAATATAACTTAAAGTGGACATCTAACTCGACTGTCTTATCCCAGAAGATACACATACACTTTTACACACACACATTCTTAAATTAATCAGAAACTACAATTTTTAGAAATAACCAGAAATCCTATATTTTTGCACTAAAAATTTTAAATGATGCTTTTGCATAAACTGAGAATTTATGAATTCATCATTTGTATGCAGCACCCTCTGAATCTGTCTTACCATTTGAAAGCTTTATAAAGGTCATTAGTGAATACTACCTTATATCTTATTAAAAAATATCATCTTACTAAAAGAATATCATCTGCCAAAAATCGACTAATAGATATGTCTCTCACATTACCTAAGATGAATTAAGTAAAAGCAAGATGGAAAACTTAAGTGCAGGCTGTTAAATGTGAGGGAACCATGGAACTTTGCTGAGCTGCAATAATCATGTATCAATATTTTTCAAGTGCTCACTTGTACAAGGCACTTAAAGATTACCACCTTTCAGCCAAGACAACAGTGGGGGGTGGGGCGGGGGGAGCGGGAGGGAGAAATCGGAGCCCTGAAGGTCCTTTCTGAAGTGGAATGAAATTCGCCTCAAAACACTACCAAGGTAATTCTGCAAAAGATGTATTTTTTTGGACATTAAGAAAAGATACCGTGGGCTACAACCACTTGGCAAAATCTGGTAGGATACTGGAGAAGAGTTAAGATTCGGTGATTGTTATATCTCTCGCAAAGAATAATTTAGAACCTGTACTATTATATTACAGAGAGAATGAAGAGTGGGCGGGAGCAGGTTTAAGGTCCACAAGGGGAAACTGAGAGCGCTGCCCAGAAGGTCTGAGGATGGATTTTCATAGCTCCGAAAGTGGCGAGGGGATTAGGTTAAGGTCCGGCTCCGGTTTCCACTTCCCCACCTGCATCCTGGCCCGGGAAGGGGAGGAATTCCACCACATGGTCCTAGCTGGGGCGGGGGACAAGAAAGAGGCTGTGGGTCCCCAAAGGAAGGCGGCCTGCAGGAGGGCGGGGCGCGGTGCAGCGAGGAAATCGAAAGGAGGCCTGTGGGAAAGGGTGCAGCTCTGCCGGGGACCCTGCCGCAAACCGCACCCCAGGGCCAAGTCAGGGGAGGGGGATCCCACAAGCAAGGAGGCAGAACTTACTCCACGGTCCTCCTCCGAAAGGAAGTCGGGGCCGTCGTCCAGGCCTTCCTGCAGGGTTGATGGGGCCCGGCGCACCCAAGGAGAGGACAGGGTGAGGAAGACACAAAGGGAGACATTAGTGCCAGCCCGAAGGGGGCCCCCATGTCCGCCCCGCGCCCACCGCCCCCACCGCGCGCCCGGAGTTCAGCGTTGCTAGAGAACACCCACCATCATGGCTGCTCCAAGGCGAGGGCCAGCGCAGGCGCGCACTGCTCCACAGAGCTAGAGGGAGCAGACAGCAGTGGGGCAGGGGCGGGGCCTCAGAACAGCCCCGCCCCGCCCCGCCCGGGCACAAGGGGCTGGGGTCTGTGAGCCAGAAAAAGGAAGGAGAGGCCCTGTGGCCAAGGTCGAAGCACCGAAGTCTGAGGGCCAGAAGGCCGCACTCAAGCGCGGGGCGGGCGTGTCTAGCAGCTGGCCCGCGGTGACGCAAAAAGAGGTTACCGCCACTCGGGGAGCTGTCCAGTTCGCTCTGCCTGAGGGCTGCTGCGAAAAACGAAGGAAGCGCCCTCTGGAAGTCACAATACGTCGTCTAATCTTTGTATTGTGCCTCAGGATAATTAATCACAATATTTTGCCTGAGACATTGCGGTAATCAAGGGCCTTCACACAGTCAGCAGTTGGGCTGTAATCAAGTTTTTATTGCTGGCGAGGTAATAAGTACCTGAGAGTTTAGGGCAGTAATGGCTAAGCACTATAAAAATGAGCTGTTGGCATTACAAGAGCATTACTTTTCTTTATACCAAGAAATGTCCCCAGACCTACTTTAACTGTCCGGCTGTGTAGCACCACACGGGTGTCCGCAGTCACTTCAAACAGCAAGGCAAAACCATTCCTTAACATCGGACCACTTTACTCATACACATGCAATCCTGTGCTTCCATTCAATTAGTGGCATCTTTAGATGGCAGGCCAGAAACCTCAAAGTCCTCTTCAAATCTTGCTCCTCCCTCATCACACCATCTAGTAACCATATCTTACTGCTTCTGTAATTGTTATCTGCTTGTTAAACTGGTCCTGTTCCTCCCCTCAATGCCCTTCTACAGAAATTACCCTCAACATCTCTCCTCTGAATCTTTGCAGTGTTTTCTTAACTTCTCATTTCCATATCTCTTTCCTCCATTTTATACACTGCTGCCAGTGTTCCTCCTGAGGTGCAGATACTATTGATGATTATACTACTATCCTGCTCAAAAATCTTTACAAGTTTCCATATGTGAAAATCCAGCTCCTCAGCATCTGATTCTCTCTCTGTTTTTCTAGGCCCATTGTCCTATCTTTTTGAATGGAAGCTCTCAAAACAATAACATTAAATTTGAAAATACTTTTGTGAGAATTTGTAGCTTTCATTTTGTATGTAAGGAGAATTAAAACATAGAGGGTTAAGTTACTGTCCCAACAAGGGTTGTTCTGCAATATGAGGGGGATGATTTCATTTTTTTGTCTTTTTTGTTTCCCAATGCATTGCACTAAGTAGTAGTATTTTTCTCTGGGAGTCATGAGGCATCATTCAATGTCAGTGTGATGATGTGTTAGGAGGAATGTTCCAGTAATTTGTTGTTTATTAAAAATGCTAACATTTCCTAATGATCTGTTTGTAGATTGCAGGTAATGCCTATAAAGCTCTGCTTCTTAGGTGGAGAGAGAAGAATAGAGGTACAATTAGTAAGTGTACAACTGATAGAAGGGTCAGGTATGTCTTTATGGACAAAGGTCAAGAAAGGTCATATAGGACTACATCAAAGACCTCTGATCATTAACCAATGGTTTTAAATTTCAGTAATTAAGCCAAGTCCAGAAACATTGCACAGAAACATTGAAATTTTCAAGTGCTAAGCTTTAAAATCACTAGTTATGAAAAAAGACAGGATTTAAAATAAGTAGCCAACTAAAATGATCAAAAAAGACATAGTAATTATTGTAGTTAAAATCAATAGCTGAAAACTTTGAAATAATTAAGTTGTTCATTAATACCTGAGCCTACCTTTCTGAGCAAAGGTCTCAAGCTGTATTTTGTGAATGATAAAAAGGAATTATCAGTTACTGATACTAACAGCTGTCAAAAAGCCAGTAATAGAAATTAAGAAATATCAAAAGAAAAGAAATTAAGATAAGCTAACATAACAGATTTTTCTACTACTTATAAAATAAATCAAGATATTAAAGTTGAACCACTCCTCTAATATTTTTAACCAAATAATAAATTTTCATCTTGTTTTGATAAATTTCTATACAATTACCTATTTCTATATAAATTTCATGAGCAAATTACGTTGAATAATAGTCTGATTATTTCAAAGATTTAGCTACATGAAAGTAAAATGTTATAATTGTGAATAGTTTCCCAATGGTGTGCTTCAAAAATAAATGTATTGGAAGAATTAGTGAGTTACTTTTAAATTTTGGAAGTCAAAAATTATATTCACCTTGAACATTTTTGTCAAACAAAAATCAAGTTTTATCTAAAAGAAAAACTTAAAAAATATGAAACAGTTATTTAATTAGATGGAGGACAAAACTTTAATTCCTTTTATCATGTTCTGATCGAAGAAGATATCACCCAAACATATTTTTATCAATTCCTTGATTCCTCAAATTCTAGGAGACCCTGTTCTGTTTTGGACAACCTTTGTGTCCTAATTTTCCCCTCCTTCTTCCTAGAAGTTAAGCCACAACAAAATTCTCTGCCAAACTTCATTTTTTTCTAGTTTTCAAAAGGCATTAGGATGATGCCTTTTAGTGCAAGTTACAAAAAGGTTAATTCAAATATACTTGACCAGTTAAAGAAATTTATTATCCCACAACAAAAAAAGTCAAGAAATAAGGAGTCTCTCAGAATAGTAGAATCAGTAACTTTAAGGTGCCATCAAAGACCTAGATGCCTCCCAACTCTCCACTCTGCCATCCTCAGTGAACACTTCATTCTAAGGCTGGTTCTCCTCATGATCCAAGGTGACTTTGACAGTTTTAAGTTTCCCATCTGGACATATCAACCACAAGCAGAAAAAATTTTCTTGGAAGCCTTCCCTCCTTCCTGTAGACCTGTCACATTTCAGACTCATATTGGATCATATACCCACCTTTAAAGGGGACTGATGTAACTAAGATTAGCTTAGAGCAATGATTTTCAACCCATATGCCACAAGAGGCACACCAGTGTGCCACAAGAATTTTGAAAACATGCAATACCTGACTATTTAGTCAGGAGTACTGAATTCTTTTCCCTTAGATTGTCAAATAAAAAAATGACAACAGCCAACACAACAATAGCCGTCTAGTGTGAATGAATAAAAATTATACCCATTTTTTGTCAGACTGGTAAAAGTTATCTTTTTTGGTGTGCTGGAGAATTTTAGTAACTAATTTATATGTGTCATGAAATGAAAAAGGTTGAAAATCGCTGATTTAGAGTCTAAGCCTTAGATCCAATCAGGAATTATTGCTGGGGATAGGACTGGGGCTAGCCTCCCTAAACCTTAAGACTTCTTAGAAAAATGTGGGCACCTGAGTAAAATTGGAGTTTCCAGGAAGGAGAGAAAGGGAAATGGATGTGGGGTAAAAAGCCATCATTGTCTCCTATAATAGCAGTCAACAAAGACATATTCTTTGACACTGCCCTAATCTGCTATGTGCAATGCTAGGCTTAATGAATCACTTAAAATCTACTACTTAGAGATAGAGATAAACACTGTTCACATTTTGGCATATATCTCTTTAAATATTTTCCCATGCATATGTCTCATACAGTATTTTTATGGACATAATCAAGATGATATTTTATATTATGTCATACTATTAAGATATTTTTGTTCTTCAGCATGAATTTTAGTAACTATAATATTTGATCAGCTAGATGTATCAATGCATTTAACCAATCTTTATTGTTTGAAACTGACATCATGTTTTGGTTTGTTATTTTTTAAAAATAGTGTAAAGCACATCCTACCTGTTAAATCTTTGGAAATACTCCTGATTATTTTTAGATATACAATTATTGGGTCAAAAGTTTTAAATATGCATTCTCAAATTACTCTCTAGAAATATTGTATTGATTTTCACTCCCACCAACATTGTATGAAATGTCCATTTTCCCTCACACCATTCTTCTATACCTAGCATAGTACCTGCCACATAGGAGACATTAAAAAAAAATTGAATAATTTATTTACAAAGTAAAAACACAATTTCATTGTTTTAACAGTGACTTTGAGCTTTTGTTTGTTCATTTGGAAGACCAATGTCTTTGAACTTTTGTTTGTTCATTAATTTGATGCTTGTATTTCTTCTTTTGTGATTTACCTATTTCTGTTCATAGTATAGGCTAAAAACATATATTTTTACTATTGCTTTTGAAAGCTCTTTACAATAAAATCCATTTATTAGATACGATAAAGATATTTTTAAATTAACTTTGCCTTTTAATTTTCAGTTATGATGTGCTGAGATGCACAAGTTTTTAAATTTAATGTACTTATATGCATCAGTCTTCTTGTCCTTTAGGCTTCTATTTTAGTGATAGTGCCATAAAAGACACAGACTATCCCAAAATTACATAAATATCCACAACTTTTTTTTAGTAAGTTATTAGATTGAAAATTATTAACTTCAGTTAATGAACCAAATCAGATGAACAAAATAAATTTGTCCATCTCATTGCTTTTTGATCCTCTCCCATAATTTAGGAGTTAAAAAAAAAGCAAATATATTTTACTTAAATCAATAAGCGAACAAGCAACACAGACACCATATGTAGGTCAAAAGAGTTAAAGTCATGTCTTAGCAGATTGAGGGTGGAAAGGCTAATGTTTCACAGATAAAAATCACTCTTAAGAGAAACAGTCAGCTCCCACTTCTCTGGGATTCAGACCTGGGAATCAGCACCAATGGTGAACCAGCTGGTCTTGACCATGGTGCCTGAGGACCAAGAGAAGTGACATGACTTCTATGGAACCCAGACCCCAGGGCACATGCAGATTAATTGATTAATGTCAGTAACTCTATTTGGAAGCCAAAGATTATTGAACTGAAATCTAGCATATTTTCTTTTGCTTATTTTTAATATGAGTTCCTAAAGGGGGAGATGTAGAGGACAGTTTAATTTTGCTCTATTCCTAGAACAATAGCAGCACATATACTAAATTATTTCTAAGTTACATTTTGTTATTGATGATTTGATGACCTCATTCCTCCATCACAGAACTGCAGTGGAGGCATAATACATATGG